TGGTCATGCCTTATTTTGGGGGGTTGGGGGAGGCAATGGGCGTCCCCGGTGGGCTCTAGGGCGCCCCCTCCCACCTGGCAGCAGTGCCCAGGGTGCTGTTCCTCCTCAATGAAGGGCAGACGGGGGCGCACCGGCTCCTCCACCCCGGGCCGGGCTTGCCTGGCCTGGCCCTTGGACCATCGCCCGCACCCAGACAAGACGCAGCGCGGCCGGGTCTGCGGAGCGATTGGTGCGGGAGACGGGGAATCGCGGTAGCGCTCCCACCGCCCCGCACCCTGCGCACTGAAATGCAGCTCCCAGGGCCGCAGCCCTCAAGGTCAAGGGCGAGGGGAGCCGCGCAGGCCGAGGGGTACCGGCTGCCGCAGCGCCTCCCGCGGCGCCCACCTGGGGGCGGGGGCGGTGACGTCACCAGGAGCCAATGGGAGAGCTCAGCCCTGGGTTGGGGGCTCCGAGGGTGCCCGGCTGCCGCCCTTGGGGCGCCCGCTGTGTGCAGCCCCCCTCCCTCCCCGCCAGACTGGGAGCTCGGCTGGGTCTGCGCTCCTCGGTGGACGGGAGGGTGCAGCCAAGGGTACCGGGCTGCGCGGGAGCCCCCCTCTCCCCTTCTCCCCCAGGAGCCGAGGCCCTGACTGCGTCCCTGTCCCTGGGGAGCTGGGCCTCAGTGAGGCAGGCTCTGCAGCCGCCCGGGGATAGTGATGGGGAGGCCACCCCGGAGCTGGGAGGGGACAGGCGCCCCCTCACTTGCACCCACGGACTGTCTGGGTGTGAAAACTGCCGCCCCGCACCCCGACTTGTGCCTGGAAGGTCGAGAGTGACCCGTGCGCTCAGGAAGTGCCCTTCATGCCGCAAGCGCATTGCAGCTCTTGTTCAATGGGCACCCCTCCTGCCCCCAACCCCGCCCTGCATGGGGGGCACCCCTCCTGCCCCCCACCCCTCCAGCCCCCCAGCCCGCCTTCCATGGCACTGTGCACCCCTCCTCCCCCCACCCCACCCTCTAGAGCTGAGGGTGAGGGATTGGGGGTACAGTATGGCAGAGTCTCTCCGTCACACTTGCTCTCAGAAAAGGCAGCCCCCGGGTTACCCCGAAGGTCTGCACCTGGCAAGGCCTGCCTCCCTCTCGGCCTTGACCTTGGGCGCGGCATTTCTCCTTTGCAGCCTTTTGTGTGCTCCTCTGTGGCTGAGGTCCAAATGAGCGTGCAAAGTGTCCAGCCAGTGGTCAGTGACCAGGAAATGGGATTTGGTGGTGGCCCTGAGGAAGGACAGCCCTTGGGTAGGGGAAGGCTGTGGTGAACCTGGGGCCCACCCCAGACGGTGACTGGGTTGTCTCTGACGAGGACCCTCACAGCAAAAAGGGTAGCTCCCCAGGATGTGGCCTTTTGGGAACGGGGCTGGGCACCCACCTTTGGCAACTCCCCTCTTGAACTAAAAACCCTAAAATGACAAGTCCCCCAGGGAACTGGCGTCCTATACCTTCGCCAGGGTTGTCCCCTTTTCCCTCTTTGGAGAGAAAGAA